AAAGGAGAGAGGAGACACAACTTGAGAGGAGATGGGGAACACTAGATGTGGGATATTGCCAGTGCCAGGGAGGTCCAATCTACGTGAAGGGCTTTGCCATTGTCAGCTCCAAGGATTCAGAGCTTCTGCCTCCATACACACACACAAAAAGAATCAATAGCATCATTTTTGAGAAAGGATTATCTTAAACAATCCCATGGTTGGGAACTTCTTCATTTGCTCCTGGGCAAAAACCCTCTCGGCTTCTCCTAGCTCACTTTCCCAGCCTGTCAGGGGGTCAAACATGGAGTTAAATGAGAAATCAATCTCATGATTGCAGGAGCCAAGGTCTAGAGAGGAAAAACCCAAACAAACCATAAATCATAACAAAAGAAAGTGCCTGCTATTACCAGGTTCCTGATAACATCATCAGAGGTGGCAACGCTGGACTTCATAAAAAGCCTGCCTGAACTTTAGGGTCAAACAACAACAGCTCTTGCTTTGTCCATGTGTCCCTGCATGCCTGGGGAGTGACGTGTGGCTGGGCACCCTGGCCTGGCTGATGGCTATCTGTGCACAGCCTCCTGATCCCAAACTGACCTGCACTAGTCCTGTCTGTGCCTCAAAATCCCAGCATGGCCTGCCTGGAGGAGCTGGTGCACTGACATTTCTGATTTCTCCACACAAAGCACAAAGCACAAAGATTCTCCCAGAACCCTGCAGTTGTGTTGCTCAGCTGGGAGTATTATTTTATATTTCTGAATTTTCTCACCCACTGTTGCAGTTATTTTCTGGTCCTGGCACTGTTGCAAACTGATCTCTCCAAATCTGCACCCAAGTTACCCTGGAAGATTTTGCACAGACAGCAGTGGCACCAGGGTGGGAATGGAGCCAGACGTGAAGCAACCTGGAATTTCAGGAGTCCATTCCTCAGCCCCTGTCCCACAGGAATACTTTTCTTCTCATTTCTCAGTATTCTATGGAAACAGAGTCTTTTTCCCCATTGCAGCTGGGTGAAGCTGGGAACCCCCTGGAGATGGTGGGGGGGGAAAGAGTTTGTAGGAAAGATCTTCAGGCAAATCTTCATGTGATACACTCACTGTGAGACAGACACAGCTCAGCCAAAGCAAACTCCCTGTGACAAAACTGACTCTGTCAGCCTGTGGATAAAGTTCCCTACCAGAAGAAAGACAAGGACAGCTCTCCTGCCATGGTCTTAGCTGAATTGGAGCAGGCTGTGTGCTCCCCTGAGGACCCAGGTGCTGGTGGCTCAGCTCTGTCCCTGGACATCTCCAGGGTCACTGTCACTTTTCTTTCTGCTCTTCTATTCCCAGAAGCTCATGAACAAGCTGTCTATTTTGAGCCAGACTTGAGAGAGGTGTCCCACAGGGAGTTTTTTCTCTTGCAGGCTTGGGAGAATTGAGGCTGCTGTGAGGACAAGCCTCCTAAGTGCCTCTGCTGAGGGCTGCATGAACAGTACTGGATGCTGGGGACTCCACTTGGAATCGTGTAGGCTGAGAAAGACCTTCAAGATGGTTGAGACCACCTGGAAGAAGTGAGTCCAACATGAAGCAGCACAGCCTGAAACACCCTCTGCCCAGAGAAGAGCTTTAATTGAACCTCTGGCTCGGTGTGTAAAGCCAGGCTGTAAGAAACCACTGTTGGCACCTCTGAAACGATTTGTATTTATTTGGTTGGTGGTTTGAAGTTACAGGAGAGCTTTTGTTGGTCCCTACTTGTCACTAAACTGTCTCCGGCTTCTTTGGGGGGACATTTGCACAGGTTACAGCAGCACCTGCCACGTCCGTGCCCAATCACCCTGGCCAAGCTCTGCAGGCTCCGGAGCGGAGGAAATTCCCGATGCCCAAAGACTGCAGAGAGGGGAGGAGCTGCGGAGAGAGCAGGAAAAGATCGGAGTGTCCCGGCAGGAGAGCAGCACCTATGAGGTCGGGGAGAGGACCAGGACAGGAAGGGTTTGGAGAAGGGTGGCTGGAGAGAAGGGAGAAGGCTGAGCAGTGGCCAAGTTAACCCTTCCCATTCTGGCATTTTCCAGGCGGCAAGCCAAGTGACTGCTCAGGAAGATGGATATAACACATGTCTGCAGTCTCCAAAGGGTTATTAACTCTGCAATAATGGCCATGAAACTTGGCTTCCTCGACGTACATTTAAAATTGAAAAAAACCCACCCCAACACCAGTTTCAGAGGGGGAGAGGGCTTGTTTCCTAGGAACTGCAGGGCCAAATCCACCTCTGTGATGGTGAGAGGAGAAACCCCCCCTTCCCCACAGGCTGGGAGCAGGGGAGCAATGCAATCACCACAACAGCACCACAGCCACCTCCTGCCCCACACACCTTTATCCTTATCAGTAACAATTTCAAGGCATTTCTGAAAAGCCCGTGGTGTTCAATTCATAGAGTCTGTGTCTCACTGGAACTTTGGGATTTGGATTCAAGAAAGCCACCAGTGCTGCTCCTAAGACAGATTCCTCTTTTGCTGTGTGGGTACCACTGTGGGGCTTGTCCCTCACTCCTGGCTCCAGCCCCTTGGCAACACTGAGGCTGGCCTGGGATATTGCCCCTGTCCTGGGGTTTGCAGCCTCTTGGGCTCCTGTCCAAATGTCTAGGATGCTCCATTGGGATTATCCCTACCCCAGTGTAGTCTTGCCAGCCAGCTCAGCCACTGAGCAAGTCCTTCCATGCAGTAAGTTACAGACTTCTCTTTATTAGTGCCTCTCTTCCCCCACACTATTAAATTTATTCTTTCTCTGAATTGTTATTATTTTTTTGGCAGAGGACTTTGGAAGGTGGGAGAAGGGATCTACTAAAAAGTTAAACAAATCTAAGCCCCCTCGTCAAACCCTTTTGAGGCACCAGCTCCAGTCCCTTAGCAAATGAAGTCAGCTGGTGGTCTGGGTTAAGATGTGGCTGTTGAGGGCTCAGGCCAGGTTTGGCAGCTCACAAATCAAATTGCCTCGTGGTTCTCAGGAGCAGAGGATTGCCACGGGTGGAGGAGCTGTGTGGGAGCTCTGCCCCACTCTGTGCCAGCCGGGGCCCTGGCCTTGGAGGGAAGCACTGAAATCGTTGGTTCACAACAGGTCAGGAGGGAAATTCATGCTCTGAGGTTTTGTTTTCCATGTTATGTTACACTATTGACACAGAGCAAGGCAGCCCCAGACTGAGGTTTTGTCTCACTTGAATGGGTCCCGGCCAGTCCCTTTGCTTTGGTAAATTCTTATTAGAGAGCAGAATGAGCCTTGAAAGAGAGAGCAGGAAACACAGAGCTATTAAATCTCACCTGATCTCATGTTAATAAAGAGTTTATTATTAATTTATTATAAGCCACAGGTCTTGGCTTACTCTGATTTTGCCTGCTGGGAGCTGCTTGCAGGTCCTCAGTTTTGCTCTTGCTGTTGACCACAGGTGACATCCTCCTAGTGCCACCCCACTGGAGGCACAAGGGGCTTTACTGAGGCCACAGCAGGAGCTGGGACATGCTCTTGTGTCCATAAGGTGCTGCAGAGGCCCTCTGCAGGGCAGGTCTTCCTGAGGTGCTATACCAGCCCATGGTGTGCCATGGGGTGTCCCTTGATACCTGGGAAAAGCACAACCAGCAGGGTGAAGAACTGGAGGCAGCCCCAAGATTCTGGCTCTCAAACAGCCTCTCTCCTTGTATAGGAGCAGCTCGCTAAGAAAACGTGGTTCTGCTGCCTTTTCAATGCCTGGAAGAAAGAGAATGCTGTTAACCTGCTCATGTCTCTCACCAGTTCTTTTCCCAGCTCCAAACAGCCCTTTTCTCAGCACTCGCTCAGTGCAGCACTCCCTGGGATGAGCATCCAAAGTTAATTCCGCTTGTTTGCAACTCAGAGCCATTCCTGCTGTCAGTACAGCTCCGGACAATTCTCGTGGAAGTGCTGCAGGGAGATCTGCCAGAGTCATTCACACTCTTTTATGGGTCTTCCTTTGAATTCTTCTACAATTTCAGGAACAAAGTTGCAGATTTTTGCAGAAGTTTGAAGTCTAGGACACTGCTCTGCTGGGCCGCTGCAATTTAAAGCTGCTAACAGGTTGGGTCTTGACTGCTTTCCATGACTCAACCATGCCAGGAGCACAGGATCCCATCCAAAGCCCACCAAACGCAGCGGAAACCTTTCTGCTCTTGGAAATCACCCTGCTGCTTTCAACAGCCCCTGTCCAAACGGAGTTCTCCTGATCCCTGCACAGCTGAGGATACGCAGGATGTGGCTTGGGCGGAAAGGAGCTCCAGTGGCTGCAAGACCTCAGTGAAAATGGGAATTGGTAGCAAAAATCAATTTTTATATCTTTTAAGGTTTATGCACTTGTTTCATATTTTCATCCATGCAATGAGTGCTTCAGGAGTATGTGGGATCATCGCCCAAAACCTGTGAGTGTCCATATACTGGGGTCTGGGATGATCGTGCTTGAGCAGGGAGGTTTGACCAGATGTCCCTCTGTGGTGCATTCCAATCTAACCCATTCTATGATATTCTATGATATTTTTTTCCTGGTCTTCCAAGGCCTGGCATCTGTCCTGTGGATGGTGCTGGGAAAGGAACAGGACGTTCTCAAGCGAGCTGCCGTAGCAGTGTCTAAATTCAGTTAGTGATGAGGAAAGGGAGACGGAGGAAGCACGAAGGGGCTGCCCAGCGGCGGGATGGCGCCCGTCAGAGCCCCTGACCCGGCCGGGATGTCCCGAACCGACACCGGGTCCCGGAGCGGCCCCGCGGGTCCCTCAGGGGCCGGGCCGGGGCAGGAGAGGGCGCCCCCTGCCGGCCGCCCGCGTCCACGTGCGTTCCCCCCGCGCGGCGCCGCCGGCGTGCAGCCAATGGGGGAGCGGGGGGGCGTGTCCCGGCGGCCGTCGCCGCCAATGGGCGCTGGGAGCCGCGGTGGGGGGCGTGGCCGGGCGCGCGCCGCGGCGATCCCCGGTGCCGAGGGCGGGCAGGGCGCACTCGGGCCGCGCTCCCGTAGTCGCGCTGCGCGCTCGGCTCCGCCGCCGCACTACCATGTTTGACGGCTGCCTCCTGCCCCTCGTCGTGCCCTGCCTGCTGCTCTGCGGACTGGACACCGGCACAGGTAGCGCTCCCTGCCGCCCCGGTTCTCCTTCCCCGGCGGCACTGACAGGGTCCGGTCCCGGGTGGCAGCGTGCGGGCGCGGAGCGCAGGGCACGCACCGCATCCCCTGCGTGGCCGCGGTCCCAGCCCGCGGGATGAATTGCTCCAGGCTTTTGTATTTTCTTTTCCTGTCCTCCCGCTGCTGCTGTAGCGTTCCATGTGGAAAGCTGCTGACTGTCCTTGGCTGCTGCTGCGGCTCGTTCTGCTTTTCCCCTTCTCCCTGCAGATTTTATTGGGGTTGGTGAAATGCGATGCTTGTGTCTCAGCTATATATATATATATTTTAATGATACAAGTAGCTTTAGCGTTTACTCTATTCCTCTCTTCCCTGCACGCTTCTGTCTCTAATATATGTGTATATAGAGAGAAATAAATCGCCGTGCTCCGCTGGCTCCATTGTCTGCGCAGCCCGTTCACAGTTTCCAGCGCGGGGCTGTCTGCGCTGAAACCCGAGCGCGGGGCTGTCCCGGGGAGCGGGGGGTGCCGCAGCCCCCGGCCGCCCCGTCGGGCCGCGGCTGCGGGGTGCGAGCGCCTGAGCCTCTCTCCTTCTCGCCTGCAGCTGGCGGAGCGGAGCTGGAAGTGGTGATCCCGGAGCGAGTGCCGCTGGAGAAGATCCACCTGCTGCCGCCCGGAGGGGATCGCGGCGGCCCCCGGCGCCGGCGGGCAGCGGCGGAGCAGGAGGAGGAGGAGGAGGCCGTGCTGCTCCGCCTGCCCACCGCCGGCGCCGAGCTGTACCTGCACCTCCGCCGCGACCTGCGCTTCCTGGCCCGGGGCTTCGCGGTGGAGCAGCGGCGCGGGGAGGCGCGGCGGCCCCCGCGGGAGCGGCTCTGCTTCTACTCGGGACACGCTCTGAACCGCAGCGACTCCTTCGCCTCCCTCAGCACCTGCGCCGGGCTGGTACTGCCATCTCCCCCCACTTCCCTCCTCAGGGCTGGCACTGCCATCCCCCCCCTGCTCCCCTCAGGGCTGGCACTGCCATCCCACCCCCGCTTCCCTCCTCAGGGCTGGCACTGCCATCCCACCCCCGCTTCCCTCCTCAGGGCTGGCACTGCCATCCCACCCCTGCTCCCGTCAGGGCTGGCACTGCCATCGCCCCCCGCTCCCCTCAGCGCTGGTACTGTCAGCCCGATGCCTGCGCTTCACCTGCTCTCAGTGAGGTGACCCTCCTGTCCCCTCACCTCCCGGGCCCTGCCGAGCACCGCCGCTGTCCGTGGTGGGTGTTCTCCCATCCTGGCTCTCCACTGTGGAGCTGTCTCAGCCATCCCTGAGGGGCCTCAGTCCCTGTGGTTCTGTTATGGGTGGGCAGCAGAGCCCGAGGGTGCTGTAGTGGAGCGTCCTGGTGGAGGAAACATCTTGTGTCACTGTCTCCCAGCCATGGGGCAGGTGGCTGTGTCCTACTGGGCATTATTTGGTGCCATCCTGGCTTGATCCTGTGGCAGCTCTGCAGCTGGCTCTTCCCAGGCCCCTGCCGTCAGTGTTGGGCTGTTCACTGGGAGCTGTGTTCGCCAGCTCCAGAATGCTCTGAGGAACATCCCACTCAGGGATGCTTTTCCCACCACAAGTGTCAGGATTTCTCTGCCCCAGGCTGTAGTTCCAGGTGGCTCTGCAGGGCCTGGCTCTCCTCTGAGCGTCCTGGTAGGAGCAGGTGATATTGTGTAGGACAGAAAGTTTCTCAGTGGTGGAGACTGAGATGCTTAAGACACTGAATAGTTCGCAATTATTGTTCATAGCTTGAAAGTACTTCAGGAAGTCAGTGGGGCAATGATTTCCAGCAGATGGTCCTGGGAAGTGTGCTTGTCAGAACAGACCTGATGATGGAGATTTATCCTTAAACCGTAGTGAGAAGCAGTTCATGCTCTGCCCTCGGGGCTCCAGCCTTCGTTCTGGAGCCATTTGAGGGCGCTGTGCCTCAGGATTAAAAACCCCCAACAAACAGAGATGCTGAGGTCTGAGTGGCACTGGAAGTTGAGCTGAGTTCCACTGAGGGAAGCTTAGAACTAATATCTCTAGTTCAAGCCTTAAATCACTAACAGCTCTATGCTCTTGTCAGCAAGCGTATTTTGTTAATCTTACTGGGCTTCCAAAGCTGGAAAGCACAAACAAGCAGAGGAGGAACCTTTAAAAAAATAGGAATGTAGTTGTAGGCACAGTATTAACTGCCTGAGATCAGGGAATGGAGGAGGGGGTGAAAAAGCTTGGCAAAATTCCCAGCAGAAAAGCTGAAAAGGAGACAAGACTAGTTAGTCTTTGCTCACTACTCAGCAAAAGTGAGCAGCAATATTGCAGTACCTGTTTGGATCATAGCAATTCTAAGCAATGGCGAAATTGACGTGACTGAGCTGGATCAGCCTGGGGTCAGTGTCAAAGCTGCTGGTTTGTGCCACCTCTTGGAGACAAAGCCCTGTGTGTTAGTGACAGTGTTGGTAAAGCTCTGCTTGCCTTTGCCTGTGCACCTGGTCCTGGGAGTGCTGAGAGTGGTGTGGGCAGATGTGTTGAGAGAGAGGTGTTTCTGCATGTTGGGATACTCCTTCCCTGTTAGAGGAATCCATCCATTCATCCTCTTCATTCAAATGATCATTAGGAATGGGAAAGGGCTAAAAGCAGATGCTTGGTACATTTGAGTGAGTTCAGGTTAAAACACCCTTGTGAGCTCAAAACTAGAGAACCCAAAACACCAATATCTTGAGGATGAGCCTGAACTTAAGATGGATGAAACGAAACTTAAGATGAACCTCATTAATTATTGAAATAGTTTCATTGAAATAATCCATGCCATCATGTAGATGAACCTTCTTGTTCTCTAGCTAAGTGGACCATTTTGGTTTCTTAAGTCTGTCTTTAAACATGAAACATCTCACATTTTAAGCTGTTTCCAGTGTTCACACAGCCTTTTGCAGTGGTCGCACTAAACCATCATACCTGTAGTGAAAGCTGTGCAATTTAGTGGTAAGTTGTTTTCTGGGATCAGAAGAACCAAAAGTTTGCCCCAAATTGTCTAGGAAGTCTTTAATCTGCCATGAGTTGAACTGAGAGCTGGAAACTCTAAAGCTAAAAATTTTTTGCCTTCTGTCGGCTATTTAAAATACTAAGACCACTGGTTTTTTTTAAAAAATTATTTTCCCATTGCTTCCTTGAGCCCTGTTTGCTGCAGAAAGAGTAAGGCTTTGCCCTCAGCTTCAGAGGTGGGACATGGGCCAGACCTGCTGGGCTGGAGGAAAGACCTTGGTAGTGGAAACCTTGCAGCCTGTTTGTCCTGGCATTTGTCTTCTGAGCAGTTCTAGGGCTGCAGTGGGGGATTTCCTGAAAATTCCAGCAGGGGAATGCTCATTGGACTCTTAACTGTGTGATCTGGACATCTCCTTCAGAAAAAATAGTTGCTAAGAAGCAGAGTGGGCAGTAATGCTGTGTCTTGATCTTCAGCTGGCTCAGGCCTTGCTGTAATCATATTCTCAGCCATGCCATAAATCATACCAAAAGTGATATAAAATGATCAGGGCAAGTGGAGTTCTAGTAAAAACAAAATCCCTGACACAGTGGCACGAAAATTGAGCCGCAGCCAGACTGAGCAATTGCTTCCTGGTGATGATATCAGATTCCCAGTGTGGCATCTGAAGGTTGGGGTCTGGTTTTTAAGACCTGCTCACAGATGCTGCTGTAGCTTCCTGCTTTGGGAAGGGTGGCAGTGCTCTCGGGGCTGTGTGAGGTCACGCTGAGGTAAGGACTGCTGTACCCAAGGTCTGATCATTGAAGTACAGCTGAAATACCTCGTGTGAGGATGCTCCAGCCCTCCTGTTCCTTGTGACAAGCTGGGAATTCAGCCCAGACAGGAGGCACCGTGTTCCTGGAAAGTGCTGCTGCCTTCCCCTTGGCAGCACCGTCCTCTGGGGAGTGCAGCTGTGCCAACACTTGGATTGTGGCCACAGCTCAGGGCTGCACTGTCCTTCCCTGGTGCTGGCCGCTCACAGGCAGGTCTGCAGCCTCTGGGACCATCACTAGAAGACAGCAGCCAGTACAGGAAACTTTATTTTTTTGAAATTTCCAGCTTTGTAAGGCCACAATTGGGTCCCTGTCACATGCTGAAGTGCTGAACTGCAGCATCAGCCCCTTACAGAGGGTGTAGGCTTTTCATATTTCTCATACCTACATTTTGAAAACAGTTACAGTTTTAAGAGGGTCATGAGTCCATGTCAAAATAAGCATTATACGTAGAAATTAACTTGAAAACTGTTCAGGAACTAAAAGGTAAAAATCGCTGGGATGCATTTAGAGGTTTGATTCTAAATAACTTCCATTTTAAAATCCAGCATCTTTGATCTTGGGTTCAGGATTACTCTTTGGCTTGTCCCTAAATAAAGTTGCTTGTCCTTTTCAATTGAGTTAAGTGAAGACTTTGTGCCTCCCTCCTGTTCATGCTGGTTCATGTAACATTTTCACACCCCAGTTTTGTCTCCTTTGAACTTCCTTGTGCAGACTGGATTCGTGGAAATGGATGGTGGTCCCATTACAAGGGCTCGTGGGATGAGAACAGTTTTTTCTCTGTGTGGAGTAGAATAGACTAATCGAAACTACACCTTAAGAAATGCATGCTGGAAGTTGGGAAAACCTAAATATTTTGTAGTAATGTCTCATACAATCTACTCCGAGAAGAAAAGGGTTCCTTTTCTTCCAAGCTTTGTGTACATTTGACTTCCTGCATCTCCTGGTGGGAAAATCTTCCAGTTTGTTAAAATATTTCTGAGTGGTGGCTCTTCATTCTGGTGTGTCCTGTTCACTTGGGACCATCCATAAACTTTTTGAGGGTGTAGATGTACAGATGATAAGAACATCTATCTGGACCTCTTCCTCTAAGGTCTCATCCCACTGATTTCCACTGGGTGATAATGCCTTGCAGGACCTGGATGTCCAGGTGTTAGCTTGGGTCCTGTCTGGAAGGGCAGTGAGGGCAGAGAGAACTGAGTGGGTTGGACTGCAGCCTCCAGGGAATGAGTAGTAACTCCAAGTACTCCTGGTAAAACAGTAAATCTGCTCTGTCCTTGGAAAAGAGAGGAGCAAGGATGCAGAAGAGGCCACAGTCTGGCAGGTTTAGGCCAGTCTGGTTGTGAGGGGTGAGTGAGTGATATGGTGAGCACTTCCCTGATGGTTCATGCTGTGCCATAGGTACCTTAGGTCGGTGAATTGTCCCTCTGGAGGAATTTGCTTTCCTTCATTCACTGCAGAGGGAGGTGGTGCCTGGTTCAGAGCAGATGCTGCAGCTCACTGAGCTCCATCCCTGGCCAGTGAAGGGTTTTCTGTGTGCACCAGGGTGGTGCTGCCCTTCAGGTGACTCAGGAGCCTCTGCTGCTGTGGGAAGCAGGGCAGAGCAGGCGTGTGGGGATTATAACATGATACAATTTCCCCTGAGGAAACCTTCAGCTCTGCTGAACTCTCCTGTCTGGGAGAGGAGCTGTTTGGCATTCATCCATAGCTGGGCCATGAGCTGAAAAGTTAAACCTCTTAAAATTACTGTGCTGAGTTTCCTTGTGCTGGGATCTTCTTTCCTCTTCCACAGTAGACAAGAGGGAGAACATGTTGGGGTTTCCTTCTTTAGCAGAGTTGGGGGCCAGGACAGATATTCCTAGGTATGGTCTGCTCTCAGAGCTGAGTGTAAACCTGAAATGACTCTGCAACTAGTCTTAATTTAAAGCTCTTCTTTTCAATTTGCTTGAAATTGCACTTTTAAATAATAACCAACCAAATCTGAAACATGGTTAATAAGGGTGGGACTAAAACCCACATGAAGTTTATTAAACTGTATTTGTGGGTTGTTTTGTTCTTCGCTTTAAACATTGACTTCCTTTTAACTTTGAGGAAATGGTTAAACAACGATTTACAGCGTTACAGTTGAGAAATTGAGAAGGGGATGGAATTTGTCAGATGTTTAAATCTGTTCTCTTTTCAACATGTTCGTATGTATGTAACTAATGAACATTTAGCAGCAAGAGAAAAATCTGTTAAAGATTCAGCATTTCACAGATCTCCTTCAAAGATGTTGTGAAAATAAAAAGGGCTGGAAAAACAGTGTAACTGTTGGAGAGTATTAACATGAGGGAAGGTTGGGAACCATGTGCAGAGAGCATTGAGAATTTGGATCCCTGTTCTGAGCAAGTCCTGGCGCTTCAGTGCCTGCACCAGCACTACCAGGGCACAGAGAGCAGTGAAGGCAAAGGAGGCAGGATGGGGTCATACAAAGGCTGTGTTACCACTGTCATTCCAGTGACACAGTGTGAGGACCTTCCTCCTTTCCCTTGGGCTGTCATTTAGCCCAAGGAAAGCTCCACTGGAAGATGATTTGTAGCAGAGGAGTAATACAAGAGTAGATCACAGAGTGAGCAGGTTGCTGGAGTGACCCCTGTGTATGTGAAACCCTGGATAAGAGCACATGAGAGTGTTTTGGTGGTGAGCACTGTTGAGCTGACTTCTAAAATAAGGGTATGAAATATCCTTAATGTGAAAGATCTTGCCACTGTTGAGCGCAGTGCTGAGTGGGGCTGTAGTGGGAAGTGTGGATTATTGTTTGTTTTAATCAACTTGTCAGTTTGCCTGCCTTTGGAGGCTGAAATCATTCCAGCCTTTTCTGTTAGCAGAGCTGTGGGGTTCTGTCAGCTGCGTGGTCTGCATGGTCAAAATTAAACTGGTAAAATTTATGCAGACGACGGTGAACTCCTGCACTCTGAATTCTTGGGCTCCTGATGACTCCTGTGTCTCCAGGATGGTGGGGTTGGGCAGCAGTTGATTTTCTCAACATTCAGCAATCCCAGATCCTGGGCTCCCACAGAGAGAGAAGGATGGGAGGGAGTATCCCAGGTTTTGATATGCATCTCCCCAAGCAAACAGGAATTGGCAGATCCAAAGCATTTCGCTCAATTGGAATGATTTCCAGAGATATGGGAAAAGCAGCTCTGAGGGTTCTGTTTTACTTCCTTATCTCCAAAATCCAAAGCCTTGTGCAGTCCCTGAACTCGTACAGACAAGAGAAGAAAAGCACAGAGCCCCTGTCCAGGGCTGAGGTCTGATCTCTCATGCTGGGATTAGCACAGAGCAGGGTCTGGAGGATTTGAAGGATGCATTTCTTATGGAAAAAGCAAAATAATGACCAGACTATTCAAGTTACAGGGTCCAAAAGATCTTTTCTGGGCCAACAGGTTTGGGGACTCTTTAGAACCCAACTGGAAAGTCTGGGGAATTTTTAACTTCCTAGAGACACTTTACAGGCCCAATCCTGCAAAGCTTTCCTGCTTGAAGCTCTATTTGCCTTGTCAGATTGAGCTTGAGATGCCTCCCAACTTATTCCAGGGTGAAGACTCACGGCTCTTTCACTCCATAGGTTTCACAATTCCACAGCAAATGTGAAACATAAGTCTTTTCCAATGGTTTAAATTATTTTCACTCTTGATGCCAGAAAATTGGGATAATGTGGGGTGGTGATGAAACTGACTTCTTCTTATATATTTTTGGCACCAGCTGACATGGTTGGCAGTCTGTCAGGAGCTCTGGTGTGGCGTTTAGTACCATGGCACCAGATTTACAGCCCTTCTTCTAAATAATTAAAACCTATATTAAAAAAGGGGGCTGGGGCTACCTCCCAGCTGGAATGTTGGAACAAGGAGGGGAAGTAGTGGAGAACATCGTAAAGGAGGCTGGAAGAACAAGTCACCAGAGCTTTTGCTGTCTCTGAAGCAATTCTTACAAAGCCCAACTTGTGATTTAAGTGAAAAGGCAGCCCTGTGGACACTCCAGGGCAGAGTGGCTCTTGTAAACTGGTGAGCATTCCATAGGGCCTAGGAATAATGTTGGGTTTTCTCTGTATATGGGAAGTGCCAAGGCATTTTATCCTTTAGCAATTCCCCTGCTCCAAGAGCAAGGTCTCTTTTGGAAGACCCCCAAAGAGGTGTCTCTTGGCTCCTCAGAGACTCAGAGGGGACTGATTGTCTCTGCTGTGCTTTGCAGCCATGGCCAGTGGAGACACCAACTTTTACAGTTCTGTTTTTGTCCAAGCACTCTTTTATAAATCAGTGACCCTTTCTGAGAAACGCTGGTTTCCCTGAATGCTGTTCAGTTTGTGTGGCTGTCAAAGGAGGAGAGCTCTCATTTCTGCTAGCAGAAATTCCTTTTGCTGGAAATACTGGGCCAAAGGGATTTCCTGGGTGTACGTGAGGACCGAATTTGGCAGGGAGGTGTGGAAATGTACAATATCCAGTATGTATGTAATGTATATTATAAATCATATTAGTACAGTCAGCTGTTGAACATACAGCTTTTGGATGTACGTGCAGAGCATTTCTTTGGAGAGTTGCCTGGCTGGCACAGAACGTGGGGAGGGGGGGACCAGAAAAATCTGGCCTCTCTTTTTATGTATAGGATGGGTGTTGGAGCTCTCTGGAAGCACCTTTACCTCTCAGGTGCACAATCCTGGCAGACCAGGTGAGCCCTTTTGTTGTTAACAGAAGTTAAATCAGACCTCAAGACTTCTCTCAAGGGGGAGATACATGGCAGAGCTGTGTTTTGAGACTTTTAATTGCAATATAAATAATCACTGGATTACTACAATGAAAAGTAAGAACCCCTCGTTGTAAATACTCACTTTGTGCAAAGTGTTACAACCTCAGTGTTGATTACTAAACCTGGAGGCTTTGTTAAGTTTTAAGGTGATAACTTTGCTTTCACTCTCTTATTTTCATGCCAGAAAAGGAGTGGAAAAAGCATAAAAAAACCCTTAAAAGCTCTGGGTTGTGAGCAGAGGAGGGCTCTCCTGGGGCAGAAGCTGGCTTCCAAAGGTGTTCTTGCCAGCCCTGGTGTAAATTCTGGACTTGGTGCAAGGAAGGCAGGGATTTAGTGCTCTGACCTGGACCCTATGGAGTTATTTAGGCAGGGTCTTTGCCTTCCTAGTGTCACTTATTCCAAGGATTGTGGAAAATCCTGAAACTGGGACAGTGCAACAGTCCATTCCTGACTTCACCTCTGAAACCCAACCTGAGGCTTGCAGGGAGAGCAGAGCTGACTATGTGGCCCTCAGTGTAGTCAGGAAGAAGTGTTTGGTCCCAAAAAATACATGTGGCTGTGCAAGTCACACTTGGCATCACTCAGTGTTGCAACTCAGTGTTCCTTGTGAGGGTGGTACACACAGGGACCTCCTGTATGCAGGCAGTGTCACCTCTGTGCTCTGGGATAGTAAATGTCATTCAATAGCAGGGCAATCCTGGCAGTTGGAGAGGTGATTTTGAAGGGATTTCTGTTAACAGGATTTATTTGTCCTCACGTGAGCTGAGCATCTCGTAAAACACACATTTGTGGGGCTGTGTCTGAAGGGAGAGGTAGAAGTGAAAGGAAAAATGTTGACAGGAATCCCCACCTTTCCTTTGTGCATTGTTTCTAAATAGTGCTCAGTGATATAAAATTAAATAAGCAGATGAAATTCTTTAATCTGTATTACACAGACTGAACACAACTGTAATCACATGATTTCCTCACACTGCAAATGATTGCAGTGAAATGACCTGGGTTTCACACTGGCTTGGATAGACAAGTCTTGGGTACCAAACTGATGGGGTTTTTTTGTTCTGTTTTGTGGACAGGTTGGCTACATCCAGCTTGGATCAGAGCAGCTGCTGATCCAGCCTGTGAATGCATCTGAGACCTCGTTCAGTGGGAAGGAACATTTCATCAGGAGGAGACGTTCCACCAAACCCGGCCCCCCCAGCAAGCCCCACGGCCCTGAGGAGCACTGCAAGGTTGTGGCAGGTGAGCTTGGAGTGGCTCCAGAGAGCAGCCACGGGAGTTCTGTTTGTATTTTGTAATTCTGGTTGGTTGGGCAGCTGGAGCTGGGGAAAGATGGCAAGTGTGAGAATCCTGTTGCTGCTTCAGGCAGGAGTCACATCACAGACATGAGGTTGTCAGGGCATGTGCTGTGACATTGGACTTGTGAGATGATAAATTCTGCTCTAACCTTTGCAGTGTGACCACTGCTCAGGGAGGGATTCACTGGGTTTTTAGCAAAGGTTCAGGGTTTTTTTAACTGAAGTCAGTGTTGATTTGGGCTCTTCCATCTCACCTTTCCACTGGAGTTGTGCTGAGCAGGCAGGGATAGAATGGTGATGCTCACATTTCAGAGTATGGAAAACATCACTTCAGCTACTTTGATATAATTTAATCAGAAGTATCATCTGTGGAGTCCAGCTCCAGGGATCCAGCTCATATAGGATAAAGGGATATCTGGAGATGGAAGAGATGCACAGTTTATCTTTCAAAACAATCTGCTTTCTTTTTCAGCTTCTCAAACCATCATTCTTACTTATGGCTAGCACATGATCCATATCAGGGTCAACTGAGCAGACTTTGTATTATTTTATGGTTTTTAATTGCTTTTGTAAGGGCTTGTGTGCATTTGGAACTACCAGATGTAATTCATCAAGGTGATTTTTTTAACTAGGAGCTTGATTTTGCTTTTTCTATCTGCTGTTTGACTCATCAAACTTAAGCTCTATCTGATGAAACAGCTGTTGTATTATATATTATAATTTGCTATCATTTTTCTGGAGAAAATGGCCAACTCTGTTCATTGATCATATCCTGTCTTCTCCCACTTTCAAAGCCACACAGTCAAATTGCCAGCTGGCATAAACTACTTTTTGGCTTTTTTGGAGCAATTTAATTTTATCCTTTCTGGAATTCTCTCTGGGTGTGTTGCAGAGGGGTTATTTTTAAGGACTCTTCATTAGGTTGCAGTGTCCCTGTATTTTCTGTTCCTTTCATTCCTCTCCTGCCTTCTCCTGGATGGATTGCATAAATGGAGCAGTGGGTTCTGCTGCTGGGCTGCCAAAGGGGCAAAATGGGGAGCAGGGCTGGGGAGTTTTCTGGGTACAGGAGTGAGAATCACTGGTGTGGGAAGAGCTGAGTGCTCAGGGACAAGGGCTCCTGCTGGACCTGGAAGGATGTGGCAGCAACAGGAGGCACAAAAAGCTTCCTTGTGGGAGCAGCAGTGGAAGAGGCCTGAAGGAGCTCACTGGAACAAGCAGCCAGGAATCTGAAGTTTGCCTGTAAGGCTTTGTATCTCAGTTTTTGTGTTTAACCAGACCTGTGCATCAGCAAAACATCCTGTGCCTGCTTCTAAGCTGTGTCCTCCCTGGCAGTGCTGCTGGTAAATCTTGCAGCCAGGACCTTTCTTTTCTCCTGTGTGGAGCTGAGCTCTTAATAGTTCAGCAGGTTTATCATTCTCAGGGGTTCAGACTAAGCCAATCTTCTTTCTGATTCTCTGAGAATGAAATCTTGGATCTGGTTACAGTTACAGATCCCTTATGTCTCTTTTCAGAGAAAACATCAGAATTCAGCACTGCTCTGATTTCCCAGCCAAGTTCCATAGGTGCTGCAGCCCTGTGGTCACAGAAAATGCATTTCAGAATTCTTACACTGTAAAATGAGACAGCCATTAGTTAAAATCTGAACTGAACCCGAATCAGTCCAGGAAATCAGCCTCACCCTTTGGCCACTGAACCTTTTGACCTTTTTTCTAGGGGCAGGATGCTCCCCTGTCCTTGGCAGAGCTGGAATTCCCTCCTGGAGGAGAGGGACTAAAGGAAGGAAACTGGGGTAATAATTACATTGGATCACAAAGGGAAAGAGGATCTGAGTGAGCATGAAGATACTAAAAGAAGACACTGAGAGAAATGTATTTCCAGTGGCACCTCCTGCTTCCTGAAGGCTTCTGGGGACCCAGTGCTACAGCTGGGAACAGAATTCCCAATCCTTGGGTGCTGATTCCTTCTGCTAAGAAAGGAGCCAAGCCCCTGCAGTGCTGCTTGGCAGTAGCCCTGTGCTAAAATAATGCAATTGCTCATGGGCTTTCCCACTTAAAGGCAGACCTCTGGATGTTTGTCATTATTGAGGGAGATAAATGTAACTCATGGCTGTTAATAGGCTCAGCACATTAACGACCTAATTGCCTTCTGTCTGCTTTGGATTAACTTTTGTGCAGAAGAAGTTTAGAAACGAAAAAATTAATCCTGTCTGATAGACAAAAGGTCAATTTCTAATAAAACTGGGTGGAAGTGACCATCTAGGGGTGTGCTTCCAGAGTTTCTCCTGGGAAAAGGTCTCTTTTCAGTGATACTCACCAACGTGGACTGGTCAGATTTGTACTAGAGGTTGTTTTCCAGTGGCTTAAAATTTGGCTCACCCAGGCTAAAACTTGGCAGGAAAGGTTGGAGGTTGTAAATACATGGGGATATTTCTATGCCAGACATCTTAGATACAGACCCTGCATTGTGGAACGACATAGACAGAAAAAGACAAGTCTGTGTAAATACAGTATAAAATGAGTATTTTTCAAGGGCACAGAACTGCCATGCTTGGGCATTTTCCAGTCCCTTACTGCTGTTCTTGTATTTTCTGAATACACAAGAACCATCTCTATATGTGTTTTCTTCTTGAAATTCTGTAATTCAGAGGTAGCTGGCATAATCTGGGGTTATTTGGGAATCAAAGTACAAAACATCAGCTGAAGTTTTAATGCTAATTATTGATCATATAATAAAAATTTAAACAGAGCTAAATTGCTCAATGGCAAATTTCCTGTGATATATGAACTAATAATAATAATTTGTAAAACAAAGGTGCTTGATGATGTAATGTGTGAGTATTTGGAAGAGAAGCAGAAAAGCACTTTAAGAAAGCAAAATGAACTTAATTATGAAGTGCTGCTGAGGAGACAGAGAGCACAGCTTTCCAAGGGCATTGCCCTTGTGTGCCCCCCAGAAATGTGGTGCTCTCCCTGCAGACCTCAGCCTTGGGAGAGGGAAAGTGGCTTGGGGCCAGGTAATGGCATCAGGCTGGTTTGATAAGGGGTGGTTAAAATTTCTAAAACAACTCCTTTAGCCTGAGTGGTGTTACATGTCCTGCAGCACTCAAAATTATTTTTAGGTTTGCAGGAGAACTTTGTGGGAGCCAAATTTCTCCTGGAATAATCTGTATAAGAGGATTAATCTGGCTGTGGTCAAGAATGGGAAAGTACTTAAGGTTTTGCATGACTGGATCCTTGAGATTTGAACCTGAAAGTGTCTACTAATGGGTTAAAAAAAATCCTAAGGCTGATGTTTTAATTCCTTTGTTTAAATTCCAAAGTGCTCCAGCAGCAAAGGAGGGATCCCATCACCACGGGCCAGGTGCTATTGTTAGTCATATGATACGTGAATATGTTTTATTTTTATCACCTGTCATCCAGCAAGAGAGAGAGAGAGTTCAAGTCACAATGCACATTTCTGCTCAGGCATGAACATGAGCCCCTGTGAGGCAAACAGAAAACCTATTAAAAGGTTTCCAGGTGCACATGCAACGAGGGGGAAGGAAGGGAAGGTTGGGTTTCACTTGCTCTGGAGCAGGGAGTCGTGAGGAACATGGGAAATAGCTTCACACCAGTGATGTGAAACTCTTCTCATCTCTGCACACTGGGCAGCATCTGTACAAACCTCCTGTCACACCCTGCTCTCGTTTTAAGGACAAACTCTGACAACTTTCTTGTCAAAGGTCCTGGAGAAGTGTTTTTGTTATGGAGAGAATGGAGTCAAAGGGAGTTTTGTTTGCAGGTTTTAGTACATGCAAGTAAGAATTTCTCTGCAGAAGAGCCAGGCAGGAGAGAAGGTTCTCTTTTAAGGCATCATACATGATTTTTGCAGTGCCCAAACCCTGAGACAGTTTCTTTCATTGCCCTGTCTCTGTGACCTTGTGACATACAATAAAGCTGTTTCCATGTGACAATATCCACCACAACCTCAGCTACAGTAAATTAAATATTTTTTTAACTATCATGGAACAACAGTAGTTTAACTATTTGCTGAGATTTGGACACATACTTTGCATGTTTTCTTTGCCATCAGTCTGTGGATGGGAAAATTTTTCAGGTTTTCTTGATATTGAGAAAATATCAATGTTCAAGGCAATCAAACCATGTTGTGAAAGCATAGGAATCTCCTCTAACCATGTAATAAAACTTTCTGTTTCTTTGGGAAAAGTAAGTTTTGTTACAACTTCTCCAAAAGTCTCCAGTGATGTATTAAAGTCTTTTTACATAGGAAGGATTTGATGAAAATACAGTCCAGGAGCATGAGAGAGAGCAGCTTGTCTTTGGAGGGAAGGTTGTTATTTCATGTTTATGATATAGACCTCATAAATTACCCTTAAATGTGGGTTTGCTTTAAACCCTTTTGTCAGCTTAAATGAACCAGTTTTCCTTTAATGCAAATGTGCTGCACATACAGTGAAATAACAGGAAGATCAATATTTTAATTCACAAAATAACAACGTGTTGCTTCTCTGCATAGTTACTTTGCAACCTGTTTTAACAATTTATCAAAGCTGGTAATAATTTAAGTGAGTGCTGGTGTGCAGGTATCAAATGTAGGGAAGGCTTTCCCTGAACAGGTATAAATCTTAAACACATGTTACTGCTACGTTGCATTTCCCCATCTTTAATCATTGTCTCTTAGCTGTGTTTTCTCTGCAGGTTTGACTTGGCCTGAAAGAGCAGTTGTTATGGCCAAAAACATGTGCACTAAAAATAGAGAGATGTAATGCAACCTGTATTAGTCCATATTAGGAAGCAGCTGTTGGAGAATTAAAGCAGGATTTCAACAATGGGCTCCACAGAAGATGTAATGTGATTAAGTGTTTGCAAGCACAGAAGGATTCCCTGTATCAGGAACTCAGCACTTTGCCCATGGGAGTGTGTCTCACTTCTGTGGATAAATCCC